GAAGCGAATGAGTGGTCCCATCCTAGAAGCGAATGAGTGTTCCCATCCTAGAAGTGAATGAATGTTCCCATCCAGCGAATGAGTGTTCCCATCCTAGCAGCAGACTTGAGCACCGTCAAATCGATAGCACCTTTCGTTGTTTGGCTTCATTGCATGATCATTTGTGACTTCAGGCCTTGAGACGGGGGAAGAGCTGCAACGTGTTTTGCGCCGTTTCTACCCCGACCTCACTGATGATGATACGGTTACAGTGCTTCACTTCAACTTGATGCTACTTGGAGGATCGATCATCTCGACAGGCCGTGACCAACCCAAAGCCCATCAAGCATTTCGAGGGCGAAATTCAATGGCATAGACCATGTCAAACTTCTTGCCCCTCCACACACGCACAGAGACGCTCACATTCACATCATATTGACTCAAGTTTGGCCACTCGACTCGTGCTTGATTGATTTGCTTTGTCGATTGGTCAACTCAGGAAAGCGATTCGAGAGCCGTAGATCTGCGGAGAAAAGTGAGCACAAGAGTCACAAGAGTGTGCATGTGAGCAAGTATGTAGAGTGCAAACAGCATTTCTGCGTGCATCCAACCCAAAAGTTGTTTAACTAGTGTTGTGCATTGAGATGGCAAGGACATGTAAGGACCATCGCTCGCTGACCATTCATATAATTTCTTGACTACAAGTGGCCTGCAAAAAGTGTGTCTAATCAATCATCACAACTGGGTCCATAAGGTGTTTGCATAATCTAGAGAAATGAACAGAGTTTGTTTTTGTGTGTTCAGCTTTGGTGTTTTCCATTCGTCGGAAAGGTTCTCGTAGTTCGCAAAGATTCCCGGCCTGCTTTGACCTGAGATCTGGAGAACGATCAAGGGAACCTTATTGCAAGTAAAGGTCAGCGGCCTGTTCATAGCACAAGAGGGACAAAGAAGAGCCGTTAATGCCTCTAGCCCCTTTAAATCCTTGGGTGCTGAAGCTTGACCCTGTCCCTTTGTCGTAGGGCCGCAGGGTGTGTTGAGGTCCTGGTTTGCTTCTACTCTGGCGGAATGAGTCGGGCTCAAGGGTCACACCCTCAGAGATTGCACAAGAGGGAGGCTCAGGTTCTTTGGCGTTGCATGTGGCCAAGGCAAGCGCATTTGAACGCCGGCACCTTATTGAGCCTCGATGTGCTTTTATGTTCTGGGACGCAGACCGCTGAACATGCAGGGGCATACAGAGACTGCCAGGTTGTCCTAGACGCGGCCAAAGCCGCCGGATTGGATACATTGGTAGGCGGCTTACACCCACACACGCGACAGAATGTCAAGACAAAGGATGACTTGGTGTCAACGTGTGTCAACAGCATTACTCACTGTGAATTAAGGAGTGAATTCACAGAATCGTTCGCCAGCCTGTGAGGTTTTAGACCATGCGACAGAGGAGCCATACAGGCCACAACGGCCTGCATTTTACAAGCAAGCAAGTTCCCGCTTTGGAAATATACAGTAGGACCTTTAGTGGCACCTTGTCGTTGTAAGTGTGAGACCAGCACCGGTAGGGGGTTCGTTTGTGGCATTCCTAGGCCCTAGGCCCTATGCAGTATATGAGAAAGTGCTAGGCTAAAACATCCTATCAAGAGTTTTAGAGTTTTTAGAGGTGACCCGCCCACCAAGTGTGCAAGACCATTGCGCGCAATGGTGATATGAAGACCATCGTGCGCGAGCATCGTGAGAAATGGTGATGTGTAAAAGATTGTAAGAGATCATTGTGTGCAATAGTGATGTGACGGGTAGTCACATGGATTTCGCGGTGGGCAGCACACCCCTCGTGTGACGGGTAGTAACAGGATGTAAAAGGTTTGTGATTGTTGGCCCACCCACTCACCCACCCACCCGCAATGTCATCGTGCACAATACTGATGTGAAAGGGATCAAGAAGGAGACGTGACACATGATGATCCCTCCATATCCCTCCCAATTTAAGACATGTTTTTGCATTATCCTTGTTCTTAGTTAATACAGATTAATAAAAGGTAAAGGTGGAGTGTTGTAGATGATCCCTGGATGCGTGCCGCATACGATGCCTGTGCGGAGTGCCGCAGATGAACCCCGTTCCCAACACCAGTTTCCAGTTTTCAATCTTGGAGCACTGGTATATGTATTAACTATTAACTATATGTTCGATTGTATTCGAGAGATAAAGCTTATATAATTGCAAACCAGGCTCTGGAAGTTGCAGCCAGGGGATGGTTATCTCACGCAGGCACATGTGTTCAGCCAACTGGCTCTTGCCATGGCCATTGCACAAGTAGCTCCGGAGCAAGCGGTGATGACTGTGACTGTGCTGAAGCCACAGCCAAAGATACCTGGAAATCGATGTTGCTGCATGTGTTGTGGTGGAGCTCCTCCTGACATCGACGTCAGCAAGATTTTTGCCGCAGGGGGAAAGTATGCGCAAGCAAGGGTTCACCATGAAGCAATTCCCCTTCTCGTTTTATGGAGGGTAGTACTGATTCGCCCTTAATCCATGCATATCGCTAAGCGGCGAATTCTCAGCAACTGGCACCCAGGTAAACAGGCTTGTGGCCGCCACCCCATCCAAAGTGCTGAACCCGCATCCCAAACTGATCCGGGTGGTAGTGTCAGTACGTGTGGATGCTGGGCAGGCAGAAGACGGTCGCATCATTGAGTACTATACCTATGGCAGTGAAGATAGGGAGGCCCAGATTTTGTTGCAGATCAATGGTTCCTGTGGCTCAGGCCAGGGGCCGACCCAAGGTGAAGGTTTTCATGAACGGCCCTGTGAGTATTCCGATAAATGTTGAGTATTCGTGATCATGCGATTTATGGGTTGCTCACCACTGATAAGTAAAGACTGGTGGCTTGCCCCATGAATCAGGCCGTCTCTTCAAAGAGATGACGGGCATCGTGAATACATTTCAAGAGCTGAAGATACGAGGCATCAGCATCTCCTTGCCGGGCCATGGCTTCTCCTCCAATCATCCGTCGAGGAGAATCGGTGATTGGCCCCGGCAAGACGTAAGGCCAGTGTTCGAGAAGGAGAACATCACTGGACAGTTCATGGTAGCAGGAATGAGCTTCGGTTCTTCACATGCCATGGCGGTCATGCACGAGTTTCCGGAACGGGTGACCCACGCGCATTTGCTCGTACCATACCTCCCGGTGGAGGTGCGACGGCAAGAGGGTTGGAAGCTCTACGGCCAGGACGACGCCTTGCGCTGTGAGTACCAATGGGCCAGTGGCTGTTGGCCACGAACCTGCTGCCTTTATTGCTGTTGCAGCATGTGCTTCAACTGCTGTTGTGCTGGATAGCTACAGTAAATCATCCTTCAAACGTTTTGCCATTCAAACACTGAGCCACCTTAACTGACCAAGATTCGCATTCGACCAACATCTGCATCCTTTGGGCAAAAGCCCCAGTTCATTGATGTTGTCGGGGCCAGCGCGTTATAAATAAATCCATGGATTGAAGCTGCATGCGCATGCGCTATATCCTCGGCCTGGATCTGAGGAGCGTGAAGCCCGTGTGATCAGGTTGGGGGGGAGGGCGTGTTTTTCTTGCCTTGGGGACTGCAAAACCATTTGCCAAGTTAAAGGCTGCTGCGTTGAACTCAGTCAGGCCAAGCGGACAAGCAAAGTCCCCCAGAACATGGGAAGTATTTGGGGGACATGTACATGCAGAAGGCCGCCAAATGCGTGGTGAACATCAGGAATGGTGGTCATGGTGCTCATCACGTTTCGTTTGGTAGGGGGGAGCTGATCCGATTGATGCTCTCCGTTTAGTGAACCCACCCACATGTGTTTAGTATTGTTTAGTCTAGATGCAGCTGCATGTGCACCCACACTAGTGTGGGCAACACACAAAGACCAGCCGCATCATGTACACTATCTCAATACTCACCCACCGGAAGTTTCACCCACGTTGCTGACCAATTTAGTGGATGCAGCCGAAGAAACTAGGGCGATGGGAGAGGGGGAGAGAGGAGGGGAGAGAGACTGCAGAAGCGAACGACGGAGGTCAGCAACGTGCGCCCGTGCACCAGGTCATGCAAAGATTGGGCAGAGTACCTGCAGGCACTCCAACAGCAGGCCAGACCAACCCAAAACAAGCAAAGGCAGGTGGGAAAGCGGGGCAAACCAGATTCCAAAGCATCCAACAGGTCGATCAGGTCGATCCGTGGATTGTCACAACATGTGAGGTCGAGACACCGGACTTGCACAGCAGGCAGGCTTCGGGTGCGAACGGTCAGGCTGCAGGTCCCTTCCAAGGGCCTTTAGCACCGCACAAGAGCTTCCGCACCGAGTTGGGCGGCCATTATGAGAGAAGCCAAAATCGAACAGAGGTCGTTGATTTCATGATGAGGCCGCTAAAAGCGATGCACTTGTTACTAGTAGCTTCTAGCTACTAGTAGCGATGCACTTGCAGGCCATTAATTCTCTTTGCTCACAGTCATGGTTGCCTTCAGGTGTGGCCTGCCGCACGTTTCGGAAGTTTGGGGCAATGGGCATGCAGACCGTTTGCTTCTGTCGGAGGGGTTTTACTCGGCAAACCATAGATGAACATGTCATGTGCATCAATAAAATAATGTCTACAAACACATTGATGCACAGACGAGCTTTTTGAAGACACGTTGGGTCACAAAGATGCTGTTGGGGGGTTGTTTCCAGCTTCGCCCAGCTTTGTGAAGCGGTGGTGGTGAGGAAGCAATTCATAACCAATGCCCAGAAGGTTTTATATTATAGGAGAAGCTGGCCCCAATGAAATCCTGTGCATCTAGGAGAATGTGGTGAATTCATGCCAATCTAATCCAGGGATCGAGACAAAGTGTAGAGAGGAAAGCCGAATCAGCAAGGTCACCAGGAGGTCCTTGGAAATCTCATGAAATCTCCATATTCGGGTAGTTCTGAAAATGGATAGGAAAGCTTGATAGTGGTGCTGGTAGCATCCAGGCTGGTATATGTATATATATATATTTATGTATATATTCTCACTGAGCTCTGTACTTTATGAAGGAGTGCAGCTTGATGTTTACCACCTTTTGGGTCAGGCATTGTTTGGACATGACTCATGAGACCCCAAGTGTCGAGATCTTTCGTGAGCGTCTGATTTGGAGCCCTCCTCGGGGCTTTCTACACTTGAGAAGGACGCAAAGGGTAGTCTTCATGAACCACAAGTAAATTACAATTCCCAGCATGATGCTAATAGCATATCCAACTATTGTTTGTCTTTTTGTCCCACCCCATGATGGAGGCTTACGGCCTGGCCAGATGTCTTGGCTGCCGGGTATTGAAGCTTTATGTGGCAGCGCTCGGGGGCCTACGGGGGCCTGCACGTGGGAAGATGTGTCGGACTTGAATGTCCGTGACTTTGGGCTCATGGGCTCTAGGACCATATTGAGATGGTGACCGCATTGAAGTCCATGCGTTTGCACTTGTGGCATGTCAAGGGCATCGCGGTGCACCCGAAGAGAACTAGCATTGAAAGAGGTCAAAAGCAGGTTGTTTCCAGTCTCCAGGAGGAGACCACCGACGATGCCCTTGCTCGACGAGGAGAGAAACATGTCCGGTCCAATGGCTTCAGTGGGACTAAATGCAGTAGCCGTTGCCAACGTCCGTAAAGTCTTTGTTGTAACGATGAGAGCAGACGGAGCAAGCTCTCATATTGCACAATCCATGTCAGGTTTGGGGAGTTAGCAAGACGTCAGATATGAAAAGCATTGACGAGGGCAAGCTGCTGGAAGGAACCCAGTGCAGTGCGGATCTTGTTTGGGTGTGCCAAAGATTTTGCAGCACACATTCTTGGTAGGTGCGTTTCTCTCCATCTAAAGTTGCCAAAGATTGAGCAGGATTGGTGGGAGCTTGGAGGAACCGACTGCTGGAAAGTGCTTCCGGCATGAAGACATTGCTCCCGCCTGAGGGCTGAGGGCATAAGTGTTCAATATTCAATGAAACAAGTGAGCCATGGCTGTGTTAGAAGCGCCCCCATGCACTTCTGTGCAGACACTGATGCTGACATGGAAGTTCCTCGGTCCGAGGCCACCCGCTGCCAAGAAGATCCTGGCCACAGTTCGCGAGCAATATGCATCCCCGTGCGCCCCAGGCACGCACACATTGTGGCGGCAAGGATATACAAGAATTATTTAAAAGTAAGTCCGACGAAGAGATAGAGAGAGGGAGAGGGAGACATCAGAAAGAGAGGAACAGAAGAGACGAGATGAGATGAGGACCAGGAAAGAAAAACATAAGAACAAATAGAGATCAAGACCAATTGATTGTGCACTGTTTGTAATGGTTGCTCTGGTTTGCAAGATTTTGCAGGGACAGAAACCGGCACTGTACTGATTTTTAAGTTATGGACATGCACACCTTCTCAGAAAGGTGGCAGCCTCGAGCTCGACACTGTGGTGGGCGGGGCAGAGGTGGAAGAGTCAAGCATGGAAGCAAACGGATCGCGACGGGTTGTCACACCATAACGCATGTTCCACATATTGTGGAAAGCCAGGCGGCGATTGTGGCACCCATTCAGGCATTTGCTTGCTCGCAGGAGCCGGTGAGTGCGGCAGAAGCTGCATGGTGTGGTCCGAGCTGCACGTTGAATTTTCGCTTGGTGTCCAGGAGAGAGAAAAGGGCGAGACAGCCACCAAAATGGAAGGCCTATGAGATCCAATGAGCTATGGATGGTCTATTGCGGGGTTGGAACTCAATGCACCCCCATCCCCAGCATGCTTTTTCACCAAGTGTTGGTTCCCAAGGGCCACCGCACTCGTCAGTCAAGGCTGGCGAGGCCTCACATCCTCCAAGTTTGAGTTGAAAGTGGCTGGGAACTCAGAAATAGAGTGGATGAGAGTATTTTGAGTTGAAATAGCGCCATGCCATACTCTCATGACATCTCATAACTCCTGGCATTTGGGTCGGCAGGGCTGCTCTTTGTTTTCACTGAGTGTGTGCAAGGGGATCCGTCCCGCTGGGTGTCAATGGTTGCGAGGCAGCTGAATCCTGAATCATTTTTGCTAAGGTAGAAGCTGATCACATGGATTGCCTGTCAGCAGCCGATGGCAAGATGCCAGAGCTCATTGCTTTGCTAATGGAGGACGGGCCGACCACTGATCAATCAGCTCTTGCTCATGTTTCGAAAGAAGCATCATGGGTGTAGGACATCAAGAAGATTCTCCCTCCAGCCGCTGCGTAAAAGTGTGGCGCACAAACTTGTATATTATGGACTTATGGATGCATTGAGTGTTGTTAGCCGCTTATCCTACTTGCCCTTTCATCATTCCTGCTGCTACCACGTGCACAACTCACTAGAAACACATGCTCTCGCTGAAATTGTTTGGCAACTGGCGGTTCCGCAACTTTCTCTATTTTTTTGTTTTTCCTATTAACCTATCTACTGGTATCTTGTCTATCTCCTATCTACCCTATCCCATCCCATCCCATCCCATCCTATCCTATCTATATATGTACATGTGTGTGTCTGTTTGCGTGCGGTGCGCCTTTCTATTCTCTCTCGCGTTCGAGATCCGAGCATGTTCTGCGGTAGGCTAGTTTCGTGGGCTGCAAAACCCTGTAGATTTGACCAAACATGCGACAAATGAAGCGAGCCAAGCGAACGCTCCGCAGCTAGTTGAGACCGCAGATCGTCCCTCAAAGAGAGCAACCCAAACGAAGCAAGATAGATGTTTTCTTTGATGCTAGCATCTGGCATGTTTTGGTTCACCAAGCAGTGACCAAGCAGCCTGTTTTGATTCGACAATCAGGTGGGATTATTGGGCTTGGTTTGACACCACACACACACACAACCCCCAACAGCACCCTCTTGAAGTTGGATATCATATGAAGCTGCCAGAACGTAGCAGTGCCCACACAGCACGTGTGACAACTCGATTCAAGGAAAAACATATTGCTGTGGAAAACTCGGAATCAACACTCGGCACATGGAGATCAGAATTCATGAGCACCGAAAAGAAAAGGCAGCTGTGCCAAGCACCTCTGCAGAACAATACAAGTTGCGCAAGCTGTGGAAGCAAGAACGTATCGAATTGGAGAAGAGAGAAACAGACATTGAAATTGTGAGAGCAAAGTGCATGTGCACCATATCAATGCGAGATGTAGTTGCGCCATGTTGTCGCGAGGGTTTTGAACACTGTGATGGAGGAAAGCGCATGGATTGCCACACATCGAGCTGTGGCCCTGTTGAGTTCAAGGATGGCTTTGTGTTGAAGCTGCGACACTGGGTGGTGGGACCCACGTCTACACCCACTTTGCTGCTAGCATCGCCATACAAACCCCGCAACATTGGCACATCACAAGAG